CGGGGTTCGGTTGGCCTTACAGACCGATGCGGCTCGAGCACCAGGTGAGGAACCAAGCGCACGCTCCCGGTGTTCCTCGAGCCCACGGTGTTCGGATGCTTCGGATTCGGGATGCTTGAGAACGCGGAAATGGAGGGATCTGGGAGGCTCTCAGAGGGGCGTTTTTGGCTCACCTCTTACTTGTCTTGATACTAAGAACATAACGGGCGGATTGAAAACATGGAAAAAGCCCCGTAGATACGGGGCTTTTTGGCGATTGCGCCTGAAATGATTTTGGCCTAGAATCGTGCCCGGGTAAGTAGCGACGAAACTAGGCCAAATTTGGGGTTGTAGCCCCACTCGGAAACCTAGGGCAGATGGACGTTGGAGCGTCATTTTTCTGCCCGCAATACTCGAGGGAGAGTATGGCGCCGTCCAAGACGGTGCCCCAAAGGCTAACAGAACAGGCGTGCGAGGCTCAATACCTCTCTGAGATTTCAGGTAGAGACAGGCGATGGGATCAGAGAAGGGTGAGCGGTGAGATCGTCGAAGAGATCTTTCAGGGTTTTGCACATCCAACATTCGCCAAATGGGCACCGAGACTTCAACAGTGTGCGCAAGTTCTCGAATTCGGCTGGGCGGCCGATGGTCGAGATGGCTATGAGGGTGTTTTGGCTCTCAAGCTGAAGCGGGCTTGGTTCTGTAAAGTTCCAATGTGCCCGGTTTGCATGTGGAGGAAGTCTCTCGTGAAGCTCGCGCGTCTCTATAGCGCCTTGCCGATCCTAGCTAACGATTTTCCAAAGCATAAGTGGATCTTTCTCACTTTGACGGTGAAGAACGTCGAGGTAGAGAAGCTTCGTGGTGAGCTGTCGGAGCTCCACCAATCGTTCAAGCGGTTGACGAAACGTGAAGAGTGGATGCAGGGGATAGTTGGCTGGATTCGCTCGACTGAGGTAACGAAGGGGAACGATGGGCCTATGATGGCTCATCCCCATATCCACACGCTTGCTTTGGTTCGGAGTTCGTATTTTGGGCCGCACTACGTAACGCAGGAGCGTTGGAGAAAGCTTTGGGCGGAGTGCGCTCGACTGGATTACGACCCATCGGTCGATGTTAGGAGAGTGAAGGCGAAGAAGGGTGGGGATGAGGCGAGCCTGCGTGCTGCGATCGCGGAGACCGCGAAATACTCATTAAAGCCGTTGGATCTCTCTTTGGAAAACTCTGAGTACATTCAACAATGCGCGGTGCAGTTGCGGAAGATGCGGATGTACGCGGTGGGTGGGGCTCTGCGGAATTACATGAAGAAGGTGGAGGAAGATCCGGAGCAAAAGCAGCTCGTACTTGGTGACGGTGACGGTGAGAAATCGGAGAAGAATCCCGGAGGAGTGAACTATCACTGGCGAGGTGATGGAACACCGCGGTATACGTTGAAGCGATGAGAGCAGCCGTCCCATTAGACTAGTAAGCAATCGAGCAAACAAGAAAATAAGGAATCTCACATGCTCACAATCTCTATAATTGCGCAGAAAGGTGGGAGCGGAAAGACGACGGTGGCTCGTTGTCTCGCCGTCAGCTTTGAGCTGTCGGGGCGTTCGGCAGCGATTATTGATCTTGATCCGCAGGCATCGGCGACGCTTTGGGGGGACCGGAGGGGGGAAGATAATCCGCCTGAAGTCATCTCGACCGCCCTGCCGTTGCTGGATAAGACCTTGGCCGCGGCCAAGGCTTCTGTAGATGTAGTTTTGATCGACACTCCTCCCAAGAGTTCAGAGGCGGCTTTGGCCGCTGCTAAGGCAGCAGATCTAGTGTTGATTCCGTGTCGCCCACAGATTGACGATATCGAAACACTTCCGGCAACTCGCCAACTTCTAGAGCTCGTGGGGAAAGGGGATCGATCGTTTGTAGTGTTGAATAGCGTGCCGTCCTATCGACCCAGAACAGAGGAAGCTATGGAGTCGATTAAGTCCCACCCGAAGGGATCGTTTGATGTGTGTTCGGTGACGTTTGGTCAACGGGCTGCTTTTGGGGACTCGTCGGTCGTTGGCCGGACGCCGTCGGAGTTCGATCCGGATGGAAAAGCATCAGAAGAATGTGAGAAACTTCATAAATTTGTTAAGAAGATTGTGAGTATGTGAGATGGCAAAACGACCAAGTATTAAAGCGGCAGTAGAGGGCCGCTCGTCGAAGGGTGAGAAGAGGAGGACGGCTGAGAGTGCTAGAGTTTCGGTACCAGCCAGCAGGGTGGGGAAGATCAATGTAAGCGCGTATTTTCCGCCAGAGGTAAGGTCCTCGATTCGTTTGGTACAGGCGAAGACGGGCGAGAATATGACGGATACGCTGGCTGAGGCTTTGAATCTGCTGTTTGCAAAGTATGGTGTGCCGGAAACAGCGCCGAGAGGTGATCGATGAGCAGGGGACCAGTTAGTTTGAGTTGGGCAACTAGAGTGATCCGGTCTTCGAAGGCTGAAGATCTTCAGAGGGTACTGAAGCGGTCAAGTTTTAGGTCGCCGGAGATTTTTGATGTGGCGATGGAGAGATGTGAAGCAATCATCAATGAAAATCCGCGGTCAGGCTTGGTAGTAGCGAGTCACTTGGTGGAATTCAGCGCAGATTTGGGGCCAAGTTGTTGGGCTCTTGGTCTGGCTGTGAAAGGCAGTGCGCTTAGGCATTTGAGTCGTTATTCTGAAGCAAGAAACACTTATGAAATGAGCTTGAGGATTTGTGAAGAGGATTCAGTCCGAGGGAAGGTTCTACAGAGGTTCGGGGTTTTGGAGATGTTTGAGCAGAACTACCTAAAAGCTCGTGAAATGTTTGACGAGTCGATCGGTCTGCTAGGCAATCAAGGTGATAAGGCAGTTTCGTTGATTCTGCGTTCAAAGGTCTTCGTGTTGGAAGGTAAATATTCTGAGAGTGCGAAGGACGCTGGTTGTGCACTGAAGGGGTTGGATCCTAGGAAAGATGAGAGATATTACTTGAGTGCAGTCCTTAGTATTGGTGATTCAGTGGTAGGGGGGATTGGAAGCATTGAAGGATTGAGGGATGTCCTTAGATTGATTTGTACAGTGCGGAAATCTGCACGTGGGTCCGGGGCGGGACGTTATAGGTCTGTTGGTTGGATCTACTTGGATTGGGTCGAAGCCCAGATCAATGGAAGGTTGGGTTGTCATAGACAGGCAATCCGCCAGCTGGAGAGGGTTAGTGCTTCTTTGTTTGAGAGTGGAGGCGAGTATTTTCGAGATGGTCTTCTAGCGGCGGTGGATTTGGTAGCGTGTATTGAAGAGTCTGGGTCTGGGAAGGAAGCGAAGACCAAGTGTCTAGAAGTCTATGACCTGGCGAATAAACTAGGATTTGAGACTGAGGCTCTCATCATTGAGGCTTACCTGTCGAAGGATTGGGTTGGTGGTTTAGAGAAAGAGCTTCGGGGTATTACCCGAAGCTCTTGAGCTGTGGGTTAGCCGATCGGTACGTACTGACCGAGCGTCCCGGCTTTCATGTTGGTTTTGGTATTCATGGTCTATCCTCCTCAGCCGATTGGTACATACTGACCGAGGGTGCCGGCTTTGATTTGGGTTTGAATTGTCATGATGTATCTCCTTTAGCCGATCGGCTCGTATTCGCCGAGTGGTCCTGCTTTGATTTGGGTTTGAATCGTCATTGTTTGTCTTCTCCTCCTCAACCGACCGGTTCGTACTGGCCGAGGGGCCCCGCCTTGATTTGGGTTTGAATGTTCATCATCCGATGGGTACGTTCTGCCCAAGAAGGCCTGAAAAGATCGTGGTTTTCACCTGCATCTTCCGTTTCCTAAAGTGTTGGTGTTATTTGTTTTATTCTGATTCGCTTGGTTATTCTTAGCTTTGTGAATTCCCCCCTTTCCGTGTTTCTCGTGGGTTTCTCGAAAATACGACGATATGGCCGACTAGCCGGTCGGTACAAATTGAAGAATGGCGAGGAACGATTGCTGTGTAATGAGCTCAGTGTTTGGGCGATTCAACCCGAATGCTGCGCAACCACCCAGGGGACAGCTACTACCCATCCTTTCTGTGTTTCTCGTGGGCTGGATTTGTGGCTTGGAGTTTGATCTTGGGTGAATGATGAGGGGCCGCGGACGCTGTGTCCGCGGCCCCTTTGTCCGCCGCCAGTCTCCTTGTCGTGCGCAGCAGCGAAACAAGGAGAGAGGGCAATGGTCGAGCTTTTGAAGAGCATTACTTCAGCACTGGAAGCTGCTGCTGCTATTGAATCTGAAGAGGGGAGCGTACTTCCAGAATGTGTGCTGTTTCCGGAGGCGCTGGATCTGGGTGATTTGGATACCGACGATTATGTGAAGGGGTCGCGGCCCGAGCAATCGAGAGTCTTCGCGGAACAGAGGGCGCAGATGGGAGAGGAATTTGGCTTTCTGTACCTTGAACGGTGGTTAGTCGAGGTTCAGCACCGTTTACGTCAGACCCATGACTCTGCAGAACGGCTAGAAGCTGTGTGGGACTACATCGAGGCCGTTGGTTGCTGGGCTTCGCACACTGCGGTTCATGGCGATCGGAGGTTGGGGTGTGAGGCCTTTCTGGGAGCGTGGCACGTAGCTAAGCGGTCGCCGCGTTCTTGGGCCGTTGCATCGTCCCTTAGACGTCTTCCGAATCTGATAGGTCCGGATGCTCCGGAGCTTTGCGTGTCGTCCTTGCTTCATGCTCGAGATCTTTTCGGGCTTCTTGATGACCAAGAAGCGGAGCTCATGACGATCACGGGTGTTTGCTCCGCTTATCGGGGACTGGGTGATTTCAAGGCGATGTTGAAGCATGCGACCTTGGGGGCTCAGTCTTTTGCTCGGTTACCTGAACAAGTCACCAGACGTATCCGTGATTACCCTGTGATCTTTGCTGCAAATCAGATGTATGCGGCTCTCCGGCTGAACAGGCTAGCTCTCGCGAAAGAGCGGGCAGGTTGGGTTGCTACTGGGGTAAATGTTCCGTCGGCTCTCTCGGCTGAGGCGATCATTGCAGCGTGTTTTTGGGGTGAGGGGTCTATTGGTCTCGCTCGGATTCACTATGACCGGGTGATGCAGGATGCATCGTCGATCTGGCCGGATTTGGCTGCTGTGGCTGGATTCAATTGGGCGGATATGGAAACGAGACACGGGTCGGTTACCGACGCTCGAGCGATCCTTGATCGAGCGATGGCTTTGACCGGTGTTTCGCGGAAGGTTTACCTCGAAATGGTGAGAGGCACTGAATGTGCTCCGGAGGACTTTGACGCGGTACGTAAGGCGTGGTCGTCCGAGGTTGGATATTTTGACTACTCACCCGTTGAGAGGGACTTGAATAAGCCGATGGCGGAACAGCGTCTACCCGCTGTTTGGTCTGCTCAGGAGACTCCTGCTCATGTGATTTTGGAGTGATCTCATGACGAACACGGATGAGGATACGACACGTGTTGATTTGGTGCCCGGAGTGGAAACAGAGGAGATTGATGTGCCGCCGGGGGGTGGTACTCGCAAGCTCAAAGAGGCCATTTTTAATTGGTTGCTCAGGACTCGAAATCTTTGGATGATCTCGGGCGAATATGCGGACAAGATGGAAGGGCTCCTGGGAGTTTCTCTGCTTTTCAAACTCGCGCACCTCAAGACCACGTGGGAGTCGAATTACTCGCTTGGTCATCCGGCGCTACAAAGACCTCGAGCAGCTCGAGCTAGAGAGTCGGCTTTCGAAGAGTTGGAGCGCTTCTTGAAGACTCTCCCAAACGACAAGATGTGACACACGGATCTATGGGAACCTGTTCAGGGAGGAGACCGCCGGCTAACCGGTGAATCCTCCCTTTTTTCGTAGATTCGGGCCTCACCGTCGTGGCCATGACGGTGAGGAGAGCCGTCTTTGCATACGAGTGCCGGCGTCCAGCGGCATTGTACGTACAAATTGGAACGAGCGAGCTCGTTCCAATTTGTACGTACAATGCCATAACTGGCGTGTGTCTTTCAGCGTGTACGAGTGCAAGAAATGCTGTCGTGTGATCGATCCTAAGTTTCCGTGCAGAGAGGGACGCGGTTCTAGAGATCGTCGATTCTTGGCCCCCTGGAGCGCGCCAGGCGCTTCGTTTTTGCTGGACCCAGCCGGAATCGGTTACCCCCGCAGAAAGTTAGAAATCTCCGTCGGCCTGGAGGCCGCCCCTAGTGCCCGCCCGGACAAGCCGGGCTCAAGAGGGGGCTTTGCCCCCTGTGACCCCCAAAGGCAGAACGCCAGCTATGTCACGATGTACATCAGCCGGGCACGCCCGTCTAATGCACATCGTGACGCTGGCCGCCTTCGGCGGGACGAAAACGCGTTGGCGTCACTAAGGAACTCCCGAACACCGTGGGCTCGAGGAACACCGGGAGCGTGCGCTTGGTTCCTCACCTGGTGCTCGAGCCGCATCGGTCTGTAAGGCCAACCGAACCCCG